TATTATATTATGATATAATTATTTATATATATTAAAGTTTACTCACTTTGACCATATGATGAGAAAGCAATTTTGGGAGCAATTTTCCATTCGGTAATTCATTCTCAAAATTGTACTTTCTTGCTGTATAACCAGGATTAGTAAATCTTAATATATTTACTGCCCTCCTTCAACTTTTTGGAAGAAAATATTAAACAGTTCTAAACAGTATTTGACAGATTATAATTAAAACATCAAAAACATCACTGGAATTAATAATACTTCAAATCTAAATATTATTCCTCAAAGATAAAACTGACTTTCTATTGGCTGCTATGCGCAATCTTCTTCTCGTTGGCATTCGATATATGTTAAAATAAGCGTGTAAACTCGATAACACGGTACGCCACTGAGATGAATTCTCGGTACGCGCTTCTAGAGGTTTCTCCGCCGCCTTTCTAAAATGGCATCCATTGGAGAAACGCGAAAGAAAAGAAGCCGAGCCCTGGAATTGCCGTTGCCGCTGTCTGGATCTCTCTCTTCCTTTCTCTCTTTCTCTGTAAATTGTCTTCGGAGCGATCCATTTGTCCGCGAAGGTGCTTCTAGACGCATACATAAAATTGCAATCACGAACCAATGTAGCGAAAGTTCCGCGCTGTGATCATCTTTCTTCATGGGGTTAATCGGAAGAGCGATGTAATAATACAGTCGAAAAAAATAATTTCTCTTCTTGAACTCAAAAGAAAGAGCAATAATTTCTCTCGAATACCCTCAAATTTTCCAAAATTAATTATATAACATAAAAATTGCATCGCGCATTACAAAAACTGCGAGAGATAATTATATTTCTTTTTAAATTTTTTGTTATCAATTTTTTTTAATACTAACTAAGCAATCGATTATTTTCTATTCCATCCAATTTTGATTGAAATTTTTTTTTAATGCAATGTACATATATCGCTTTGCATGTAGAAAATATCAATGTAAATAAATAAATAAATTGAAGTTTGAAATTTTTATGGCTGCAAATTAAAAAGAAAAAGTTATTCAACTAATAAATAGAATAGTTAAAAAAAAATTAAGATTTAAGAATTACTTCGTTATATGAGTAAAAGTGATCGAGATTGGGATCAAAATCAATTTGGCTCAATCATCTCTATCGAATCATCTCCGACCGTGACTTATTTTAATAATATCGATAGGTAAATCGTGCATGGCGCTATTACTAAAATAACAATGCGTCGTTTTCATAGTAGTCATTATCGAAAAAAGTAAAAGTGAGTATAAAACGATTATGAGACTTAATCATTTTCTTTCCCAAACAACAATCCCCCTACGTCATAATACATACATAATTACATGGGAATTAAAAGAAAGAGTGATTATTATATTAATCAAGGGAACTTCTCTCACAGTCGCCGAAAACGGGCTGTTCGCAACCGACAATTATCCGACCGATAGTGCAACGTGAGAGATTTCTTTCTGATCGCCCACGGTTGAATTCTTCCTACGTTAATTGGAAGGGGCGGACGCAATTGCAATATAACGCGACGATGCAAAAGTCCGTCGCCTCGGTAATTTTTATTCGGATGCGCTCAGCGAAGGAGCACCCTACGTACATGCTTGTAGAAAGTACGACAAATATCACTGTAAAATCAATTTCTCGCGCGCACCTTGCCTACTTGCACATTTTACATACAATATGCGCACGCGGTACATGCCACGGGAGAAAGTTTTCGACATTCAACTTGCTCTGATCGACAATTCAATTTTGTCACGACGTGCTGCGGTCATTCTGTACTCTCAGGAGCTCATTTGATCTGACAACATCATCAATATAGTAACACTAATAAATCACTATCCTTTCTAAGAATAAGCTCCGTTTTCCTCAATTTTTCAAATGTTCAAAATATTACCCTTAATTCCCTCCAGTCTTTAAACGAATGAGATTAAACTTTCATGTTTCTCTCTTATTTTTTTCAATTCTGCTATTTTACACGTCTGTCCTCGGTAATTTAGTACATTTTTTGGATATAATTATTAATTTATTATAACAATATTACTCTAAATATATATTAATATATATGCGAGGTATAAGATGTAAGGTAAATGAAAGATAATAAAGTTTTCTCCGCCTCCGGGATAATAAGCGCAAAAAATTGTGATAGCACCTCCCAGGAACAAATGTTACTACGTAAATCTTCAGGATAATACGCGAAAGTCAATATAATTTGTTCGTTTTCTTATTTTCTTTTCTGCAAATTAAAGTATATGAAATTTATAACAAAGAAATAAAAAAAAAAACACTTCAAGATAAAGAAAATCTAAAAAAATAACAGAGATCGTGTTGAACGTGTACTTTTCGTAACGGCGAGGGAATGTTCGCGACTCAGCATTCTTAAAGGATGAAATAATCTGACCTTTTTCATAAGCACCGTATAGTCGTTTGAGAAAACCGCGATCTATTCGCGCTCCAACGGGTCGCTAGGTTTCCTCAAATAGATGGATAGATAAATTATTATAAGCCGAATGTTTTAAAACTTGTAAAAACAAATGCAATTAGGAAAGTAGAAAGTATGCGCAAGTATGCATAAAATTGAGTTACTAAAAAAAAAAGGAACAGAACATACTTAAATATCCCCGTTATGTTTAAAGATGAAAAAAAGCATCTAAGAAGAAAATTATATTTTTATATATGAATGAGATAAAATTTATTTATATTCATCGGAATTCTCAAAATCCTGGCTATAATTTGTTAAATTAATGGTATATCTAGCTTGAATGACGAATTCTTTCATTTGACTACAAATGATCTGAGGATGATAAATTAGAAAGACTTGAATAAATTTCCGTTTTTTTTTACGCAATAATTCACTAATTTGACTGAAGCGTTTAAGAATGTGTCATTAAGCGAAATGCTGAAAAAAAAGTATTGACGATTAAAGCCGACATTCATAGGATAATCACGCATATAATGATGAATAATTAACATTTTTCGCGAAAAATTCAGAATATGCCGAATAATCAGAGGAAACGTTACGGTCGCTTCATCCCTTGTAAATAATTCATTCATAAATTAATGATTTATAGGAAGAAATTCTTGCTTTTCACGTTACAAATACATTTCATACCGGAAGAAAATAACGGACGTTCTTTCAAACGCGTCTTTCCTTCCTGATTTTTCTTTTTTAATATTCAATAAAAAATCCTATTAAACTCCTTAAAACTACTGATTATTTTTAAATAATTTTTAGCAAGGTACACTGAGAAAAA